ATGCTCCGTACATTCATTAATAAGTGCTTGCTAACAGAAACCTGCACCAAGAGTGGATATAGGGGATCTTTGTCTCTGTATGTATGCCTGTGAGCTTGTATGTCTGTGATTATGCTTATGACTGGGTCTGTTAATGCGTGTGTTAGCTTGTGTGTTTAGTGTGCGTTGGTATGTCTGTTCGCTTGTGTATGTTTGTATGTTGAACTTCCATTGCACCGTTCTAATCCGAGGTGTGTGTGCGTAGCGTGTGTGGGGGGGAGTGGTGGTGCAACAGTTAGCACTGCGCTACCAACCTGGCGACCAGAGCTCGATTCTGACTCACGGCCAATACCAGTGACGGTTATCTGAATTGCTCCTGGGCCTTCCCTGGGTCGACTCAGCCTCAGTTGAGTAACTGGTGCGGTGTGTAAATATCGCCACTGGGGAGACAAAGGCAGCCGGGAGTGGTGCTGGCCCCCCACTCCTTTGTGTGTCGTGCCAGCTTTCATAGGAGCTCGCAAACAGCACTTGCCCCGACAGTCTCGTAAGGCTATATGGAGGATCTTTGTCTTGTGTGTAGTCACTGCATCTTAATGCATTTGTGTTTAGGTCTGTGTGTGAGAGAAAGTGTGAATAGTAATGTTTGTTTGCATTTGTAAAAGTCCATGGGGAAAGCGTGAGGTTGGGGTGTGGGAAGTGTTTAGGTGAGTTTTCAATATCATTGCTAAGTGTTGCTTCTCAACATAATGAATATATTTGCATAAGCATACGCAATACAACAAATGTATGTAAATAACTATAGCTCTTAATAACCAATTGAAATAGAATATATTGCACGTAACATATGACTATACTAAGCTGTACAAATGCACAGTTTAACATTACTTCACCAATCGCACCTCCGATTAGCATGGTTGGCTACGTACAGTGTGAAAGAAGTTCAACTTACCAACGTACGAAGAACAATTTAAGGCATGCGGCTTGTTTACAAGACTAACAATTTTCGGTTTCAGTGACTTGTACTGATCTCGAATTTGTGCGGTTCAATTGGTTGCCGCACTATCACACAGTTGGCATGCCCTTACAAAGCGCGCGTCGGGCGATCTTTATCGCTGCTGATGGATGATGCACCCCAGTAAGGTTCCTCGAGTGAAGGGGGGGGGGGCATTGCGGGGTTAGGGTCCGGGACCCGCGGAGAGGAGAGGGGCCAGCGGGAGAGGAGGCGACGGACGAAGGGAAACCTGGGACCCGTGTAGACCTGCACGCACCGAGATTAAGATGCGGGATTGAATTTCCGTTTGTGCAGGCGCTCTCGTTTCTAATGAAACGGCCGGGGGAGGAAAATGACACCGGGGGGGGGGGGGGGGGTTAGACAAATGCAAGGTAGGCCACAGCCAAGCAGTCAGTGGCCCGAAGAATGTCCATAATGAGAACGTCGTGTTTTCCTGCTGTCACGTCGCGCATGCCAGCGAGATGCGAGCACATGCGTGTGCATCTGGCCCTGCTGCAAGGGCAAGTGGGTAAAAAAATCGGTCATCCCCCAACTCCCATTGTCAGCAGGACCTGCAGCTGCATGGGCCTTTGTGGCTCTAGGTTAGCCAGCATGTGATGGTTAACTTGTCTATGAAAGAGTCAAATGTCCTGATGCTTCTGAGCCTACATTGGAATTTCCACACATCCTCTAGTTTGGGCTCAATATCTGCATACGTACATGTGCAGCACTGTTATCAAGCCACTGCTGGATAAGGGTATCTCACACCCCGTGTATCTGTACATACACGTGTGCCAATGAGTGCATGCGTTACTAAAATACCACTCATTTATTACTGATTCCTGACTTTCAGAATCAGTCATCAATTTTGAAAATGGTTACCGGTCATCGTTTAACAGCACTTGTATTTGTCACTTTCATAATTATGTGCACAGACGTGTACACACAGTCAGGTACATGTTCAATCTGTTATAAACATGTATGGTGTGGCCATGGGACCCTTATTTGGTGCACTGTGCAAGCCCCCAAAGTCTTATATTCTATCCAGAGGTGTTAGCGGGTTCTCTGGTTTAGTTTAGGTTGATTTTGGCACAAGTTAGTGCCATTGGGAAATAAATGCTCATCTTCGATGATGGGAATGACATGGGATTTGGGTCTATGTATGTATACGGCTGTGGTGGTGTGATGGATCTCAAAGTAAGCCCTTGAGTTGAGCCTTGTTAAAAGTTCGCAGCAAATAAGTGGCCATGATTCAGGCTTCGGACAGAAAACGGTGTCATCCGTTTTTTCTTAGTTTTTTTTTCAAGTTATTATTTCAGCATTGTTATCGCCTGTTTAATAATTTTGTTGGCATAACAGTGTGACGTCGGCGCATTTGCCTACGCAGCAGGGAGAGAGAGAGAGAAAGTGTGGGCCCCAGTGGGGGGGGAGCTGGCCCATGGCTGGCGGGGGCCTGTGACCGTCAGGATGCCACAGGTGCAATGGGCCATCCCACAATTACAGCCATTAGGCCCTGAGGGCTTGACGAGCGACTGAGTCCCCCACCCCCAGCCCTGCTGAGGCTATTGTTTCAGGGTCTTGTCTAACGATTGTGGTGGAAGGTTAAGGGGGGTGCCGGGGTAAACATAGACACACGCACACACATTCACATACCTACACGCACGTATGCAAGAGCATTCGTGCGCCAGTCCATGCGCTGCACACATTCTCTTACGTAAGAAGCAAATATCTCCCCATTCAGAATTACGTACTGTTCGGTTAAGTGCTGTATTGTTGAGCTAGAAACGAGAGTGGTGTGGTCTGTGTCTATGTATGTTGAACTTATTTGGCACCGGATGTCGCCAACCGTGCAAATTGGAAGTGCGATGGAAGGACAACAAACTAACACACAACAAAAAGCAAGTTCTATGCTGGTGGTGACCACACTCTGAGTTGGGTTCAAATTTTAGGTTAAATCTACCTGGGGTAGGCTCAGGCCATATTCATATTACATGGCCACGGGTGGACATAATTAGGAATTGGGCCCACATCACCATGATCGTAGCGCAGTGGACCACGTCTTCTACACCGGGCTGATTTAGTCGCAACACCCCGTCGTAGACATGTAGGTGCAGGTGCACACACATGATGCACATCGACATGAATGCACCTACCCCTACACAACAATGTCACGAGTGTGCGTGTGTGGCAACAAGATGATGCACGTGATGCACGTGCAAATAAAAATACGGCCAAAAGCACATGCCAGTGCACAAATACGTTTCTTACGTTCCAAAGCACAAGTGCACGTGTCCGCACAACATCAGTCACAGATTTGTTTTGTCCATTTGCGTATCATCAGTGTGGTGCAGCTGTGCACTGGCCAAACGAATTATTCCATGACGTCCTTAGACGAAGTGTGACCCTTTAGACAATCAGACACAATGCTTTTCCCACAAGTATGAAAATCAGCATACCGTATTCATAGAGTAGACACGCTCGCACGAATACTGGGTTATGTAAACATACAAAGTGGTACAAAAGTGATTTAACAGCATTGTGCAAATGTACTTAGATACGATGTTTATTGATGTTCAATTAAAGAAGAGTTTATCAGTTATATAATATGCTGAACTTCATTACAAACTATATAGTAAGATGATTATAATTATGCACCCTTGTTGTTTGGTAGCTGCTGTGTGGCAGAAGTAGTTGCTTGTCAGTGTTTTCACAATCACCAGAGTTGTCAAACTAAGAGCCTGTGAGTGCTGTGACTAGAAAATAATGGGTGGCTTCACTAACTTGGCACTAATGTGACAGCGTCTCTGTTCGTGTGTGCCCTCATGTAAGATTTACAGGGTTGTGAGAAATGTAAGGTAGATTTTCTACAAAATAGATTGTTATATTAATTATGATGTAAAATGTGCACAAAGGTGTTTGGCATTTTTTTGGCGGTCGCCTGGGTTTATGTGCGGCTTTCGTGGATTTTCCCTTCAGTCGACCATTTTCTCTATCCTATGCTCTGAAGAAGGCCCAATGCCTGATACATTGCCTGTTGCCTGTTTTTCCTTTTTCAAGGCAGTGTTAATGATGAATGTGAGTTTTTTTTCTTTCACTTGTGCACCACTGCCATCGCAGTTTCACCAAATAACTGATGTCAAATGTGATGTTAATATCAATCTATTAGCTTCGGAGACAGACCCACAAATCTAATTGTCGGCCAAATGAGAAATGTTATGAATATCCAGTACTGATAATTTCTACTTTCTAAGTCTTGCCTTCAGATTATGGATGCCTGTATTTACAGATGGGCCTCCTCGAAATGTGTGAATGACAATGTATCAGTTGAAGGTCATTAACTGTTTCGTATTTTATATATTTATCAACCGTTTTATCATAGTATTCGTTGCCATGGGTTTTGTTATATATTTTTTACATCAAGCATTATTCTAAAATACAATTTTTTCCAACAAAGTTCCAATGATTATAACATGACATACTTGGTATAGGCATAATATATAAATATTCCAAGTGGCTTTCAAATTCCAAATGACTGCCGATTAATTCACAATTAATCTGTCTCCTACAAAGGAAGATAGACATGCTAACATATCAGAAAATGTGCTCCACGCTTAGCAAAATATAATCCATATAATCCAATATGGCTACCAAACATTATTTTGCAAAATATAGATGATTATTGGTGTAAAAGACCGGAAGCATTTACCAGAAAATGTTCACGAATGCTGATGCTCACACAATATCAGATGCCTCATGTAACAAGGGCAACGGGACAAAGACACCTGAGCATGGCGATAGCCAGCTCTTCCGCTTGTAATCCACGACAGATTTAATAGGTGCTCGTTAACACCACATAGAATGACAGTCTTATGTATGTTGAACTTATTTCGCACCGTACTTGGCCAACAATGCTAATTGGAGGTGCGGGGGGAAGGCGAACAAACCAAGCACAAAAAGCAACAAGATCTCGACGCTTTGACAGTCCAGAAGGGTGAATGGGAAACCCCTTCCCCTTTGTGCCCGTGCGCAGCTGCTGGAGTATGTGGGGCGAGGCCGGAGCATCATGGATGTGGGGCTGGCTCAGGCGAGGCATCCCCTCAACACCACCGGACACTACTTCGAGGTGGAGATTATCGACCCTGGCGAGAAGTGCTACATCGCCATCGGGGTCGCTCGCAAGGTATCCTAGTCACGTGCACATGTGCGCCTTCAAAGTACAACATGTGCATCACGATCGCCGATCGTGTACGTGCGTGCACGTGTGCGTGCGTGTGTCTTATGTTTTGGGGAACGGAAGTGCAGCGGTTGGCGCATTGTGCTATGAGCCCAGTGACCAGAGTTTGGATCCTGCTTACGACCAACATCTGTCCTGGGCCTCCCTCTAGGTCGACTCAGCCTTAAATGAATACCTGATGTGGTGTGTTATCTTCAACACAAATGCGGCTGGGCGAGGTGTTGGCAACCCACCTCCGCATGGGGCATGCTGGCCTTCATAGGCGCTGCTCGCGAACAGCACTTGCCCCGTCAGTCTGTTAAAGGCTATACGAGGGGATCTTTGTCTTTGTGTGTGTATGTTACCAGAAAGAACATATACATGTGATTGAAAATAAATAAATGTTGAAAATAACTAAATGTTGTAAATAAATAAATGTTGTTAATCTGAGAAGTAGATCTCAACGCTTGGACAAATGGCCTTTGTCAAGTGTGTATATATATGTGTGAGTATAATGAGCGGGTGTGTTAGTGAGATGAGAACCATAATGTCGGCTGGGTGGGAGGGAACCATTGCACGAGCCTCCCGGTGCTCGCTGCTAATTTGGGAAGGCGCCAGCGTTCTGCTTGTAACGGATTAATCAGCAGCAGGCCTTGCTGGGCGGCCTCGCTACCTTTGACCAAAATGTTCGTTGTATTTGGAGCGGGAGTCCATTCCCCGGGTGGTTTCTGGCCCAGGGAGAGGCGTGCACGCGCTTGTGCGCATTCATCCGCGCGTGTGCACGTGCCCGTGTGTCCATACACACCCCCCGACGTGCAGCCTTGATTTCACGGTCTCTGTGTAGGCCCATCACGGCAGCGTTGGAGAAATAAGTGTCGCCATTTGATGAAAGCAGATCCTACAATTATTTCCATTTATTCTCGTACGAGGACGTGTTTAGGGTCATGGGTGTAGTGGCACCAGGCTCTCTCACCTGCCAGTCCTCACCACATGTCCCGGGTACTCGGTGGCCTGACGAGGCCTGTTTGTTGCGGTTGCACCCGACTCAAGAGCCGCATGGCTCACAGGGCTATACCTAATAAATGAAACTTGAAACTTGAATACCCAAACCCGCTTGGCACTTTGGGAGGTTAATGGTACTGCGAGATGTCTTCACAATGTACGTGTGATAATGATGTTGTGTGCCTGCGTGATGTACAGCGCCGTGTGCTGGAATAAATTGTGACGTCACCCTGTGAGCATTGAGGGTGCAGTGGTTATCCTGGTTAACCCTCCAGAACTGCCGAAAGCATACTAACCTAATGGCGGGACCCAGGGATCCCATAAGCCCCCGGCTCTCGCATAAACTGCCTTGCGACGGCATTTTATGTCTGTTGAAGGCGAACGGTACGGCACTCTATTCCTCTCGACGAGCTCTACACGATGCGCTAATCAAAGTTTCAAAGTTTTGTCTCTTCTGCGCATTCGTCCTCGCTGCTGCGCTTGGACGACATGACAACAGAATGATCCTTGCCAGGTGGGTCGCAGTGTTTATGTGTGCGGTGGGACGGAGTCGCCAAAAGTAAATTATTTAATTACGACATTGACTTCCGTTTATTCGGGACCCCGGGATCCCGCCTTCAGGTTCATATGTAAGTAAAGTGCACATTGATGATAATAATATCCAGAAACACTGATGTGCTTGCGCTTGTACTTACTGTCGTGAGGAGTGAGCTTTTTTGCATTATGTGCACGTTGTAAACGTTCCTTGCATGAACCCAAAGACGCGTGTGAATTAGAGGGGCGTCGACCCGGTCTTTATAAATCCATGTCACCTCCACCCCCTAGCCCATAACTCTCAAACATGTGTGCACGGTGGGGAGAGGCTGCGCCCTAGACTGCCTGAGTCATCTCAAACGCAGGTGTCCCATCGGTGTTGCACAAGCCCTGTTTCATTTGGCTTGTGACGAATCTTCTGTCGGGAATGGCACAATCTGACCCGAGTTTTAACGGGATTGTGTTTCTCATCGTTTAAAAAAAAAAGCGACCTCTTTACGAGAAATGCGTGCTCGTGGAGAAGGCAAGGCAGGTGGCTCGTGCACAGCAGGTAGATCAACATTGTTTTTTGAGAGTCGGGATTCATTTATTTAACAAAAAGTTAAAGCAAAGGTCAAATACATTTGATGATGGTCACTGTGCAGATGGAGCTATGAAGTCAGCCCATGTGCAGGTGCTTGATAGATTATTACATCACAGGATCGTGAGAGGTGGCGACGGTTTAGGGAGGCCTTCCACCAGCAGTGGATTGATCATGGCTGATTATTGGAGGGTGTGGAGGGTGTTTTGTACAGCACTGCACTGGGTCTTGGGTGTATGGCACTTCGAAGAGTGCAGAGTACTGTGCAGGGTGCAGTACATCGTGTAGGGTGCTGTTCATGGTCTACGATGATATGTACAGGGTATGTGGTGATGCGTTGTATGGTGCTGTGCAGAGTACAGGATGTCAGGCAGGGTCTATGTTTCGATTTAAAGCTTTTTTTGACTGCAGGGATTCATATTCTTGGTTCTTTCGGTAAAGTCACGTAGAAGAGAAATAATACGTGACTTTACCGAAAGAACCAATGTTGTTGTAAAAGGTACATAGTGTTTTTGTAGGGCTTTATTTAGGATATGAAACTCATAGGTTCAGTGCAAGGTGTGGTATATTGTCGGCTGTCGGGTATTCTTTGGGGGCGCCACAGTGGTGAGATGTTAACTACCTCGCTTGGTATGCAGGAGGTCGTGGGTTCGATCCAGACCCTGACACCTGTGTATTTGGAGTTTGCATGTTTTCCCCGTAGTCGTCCTTTGGATTTTCCCACCACATTTACAAACGTGCGTTCAGAGTATTTGACTGCTAGAAATTTGCACGTGATTATAAGCCACTTCGTTGAGCTATCATTTTTGGCCAGGTCGCTTCTGAAAAAGTGCTATACAGCTCAGTGGGAATTTCCTGATTTAAAAAAAAAAGTTATTTTCTTATTTTTAGTTTATTGGGCAGAGTGCTGACTTGCATTTTTTTTGCCTATGTTAGAAGTTTGCTTTGGAGAGATTATACGCCCATGGTTTATTTTAACTTTGTTTACATATTTATATTTGTTTGTGAATTAATTAACATGTTTATTTCAAACTGGGTTTGTTGTTCCCGAAGGGAGTCTTAAAGTGTTGATATATATATAACTCGTGTCCGGCCAGTCAAGATGCAGAAAGCTGGTGTGCTAGCTACTTTTATTAGTTTGTTCAATAACCGATTTGATTAGCTGGCTTACAAAGACGGGGCTCTTCTGCTTAATATGCTGAAGGGACCTAAACAGAATTGATAACTTTCAGCATGATCGCAATCCTCCATTCTTTTATTTCCACTGTTGGATTAGACACTTCACATTTAGGCGGTCAGCCCCAGCTGCCGTGTGCAGCTCAAAACTGTCTCGCACTATTTTTTGTGTTCTGCCGGAATCGGTACGTCTCGTCTTCTCAGCTCCATCCTTCGGCTGCCTCACCGTTGCTTCCAGTGAGCGGATTCTGCCATGTTACTTTAACGCTGAAGAGATGCGTGTGTGCCCTCCAAGCCAGATTCATTTCCGAAGCATGCAGGATTGATGTGGAAAATGAGCACATTCATCTGAGCGTTAACGTAATAAATATTTATTTGTCCAATTTGTATTGATGTCCAAGGACAGTCATGAGCAATAATGTATGAGATGTGATGTGTAGACACAGTTGCATGAAAATAAACTGTATAATTTAGAATCCCAAACAGTTTAGTTGTCGCCTGTAATATTTCCACAAAACATCACCTTGATTAAATTACCATCACTTCATTATCCATGGGTAACTCTATTGAGCTGTATTTTCTCATTTTGTAAGTTGACTTGCGTCCCTCTACTGGGTAATTTTAGTAATTGCTTCATTTGGCCACGCTTCTTTGGCCATGACATCGGCACACAATTGGACACCGTACCATTGAAAAGTGTCCTTGCGGCTCTTATGTCCACAAGTCAGTGAATGGAAAACGCGCGCCGGAAAGCAGCATGACCCGACTTGGATAAAAAATTTCCTGCGGAACATTTTGTCAGCGGGAAAGAGATGGGGACACGTTGTGAAGAACTGGTATGGATGCGAGACCTCCAGACCACCTGTTCACGTTTCACACAGCTGGAGCACGTGTGAAACGAGCCTCACAGCGGCCAAGCATGGTTCTTTTGTGTAATGTTTCAAAGAATGACATTTCCCGCATGCTGGGCAGTATCTTCTGAAGGTCAGTGAAGAATTAGCGGATTAGTGAATAAGTGAATTATTTTCTCTCTAAGCGTGTGAGCTTGTCTCGCGTTATTATGTTTCCCTTTGTTAGGGAAACTCGGCTCGGAATATCAAAGGACTATAAGGTGTTAAAGCAGGACAAGATAGCTCAAGTCGCCTGTCTTCGAGACGGTTCTTGTTCCGTGCATAAAGTGTCGGCGTGTTGCGTATACCGAGCCTTTTAATAATGCAGCCGCAATGCCAGTAAAAGCCGGTGGTAATACGATGTCTTCCTGGCTTCACGAAGCGCTCATTAAAGCACCGTCCAAAAAAGTTTGAGGTTATTTGGGGTCGAGGGGAGATGAAGAGGCCCGAGGACATGTGCTCCTATATTTAATTAGACTCAAACCGCTGCACTGAGCTATGGCTAATGCCAAAAAAAAATCCTACAGTTAAGGAGGAAGCAGGACTTGGGACAAAGATTTGCACTTGGGCTAATATGTACACGTGTCCCTCCTGGAGAACTATGTTAAGTTGCAGCGGACAAGGGCAGGTGAATGTAGCCCATCAAGTGCGAGTCGGCCGCTGAGATGGAAAAGTTATTAAAACGGTGCAGGTGTCTCGTGGTTTTGAACCGACGGACACGCGGACTAGGTTTGGCAATGATCCTGCGTCGGTTTTCCATCGTTAGGCATGCAACAGATGCCTGC